TCCTAGGCGTACACATAACCAAGAGAAATAAAAACATACGTCCACACAAAAACTTGTACACGGGTGTTTACAGCAGCATTATTCATAATGGCCAAAAGGTAGAAACCACCCAGGTGTCCATCAACAGATGAATGAATAGACAAATTGTTGCATATCCATGCCATGGACAATTCAGCCATAAAAAGGAATGAAGGGGCTGGCCCAGTGGTGCAGCAGTTAAGTTCACACGTTCCGCTTCTCGGCGGCCCAGGGTTTGCCAGTTCGGATCCCGGGTGTGGACATGGCACTGCTTGGCATGCCATGCCATGGTAGGCATCCCACATATAAAGTAGAGGAAGATGGGCACAGATGTTAGCTCAGGGCCAGGCTTCCTCAGCAAAAAGAGGAGGACTGGCATTAGTTAGCTCAGGGCTAATCTTCCTCAAAAAAAAAAAAAAGGACTGAAGTACTGATACATGCTACAACGTGGATGAACCTCAAAAACATTACACTTAAGTGAAAGAAGCCAGACACAATTATATGAAATATCCAGCATAGGCAAATCCACAGAGACAAAAAGCAGACTGGTGCTTGCTAGGGGCAGGGAGGAGGGGGGCATCAGGAGCGACTGGTTAATGGGTATGTAGTTTTCTTTAAATGAAATGTTTCAGAGTCTGATGTATGTGGTGGGTGCACAATACTGTGAATGTACTAAACACCACTGAAATGTGTAGAACTTTAAAACGGCTACTTTTAGTTCTATAAATTCCACCTCAATTAAAAAGATACCTGCAGATAGGAACACATTTCCCCAGAGCTCTTCCCTGGTTAGCATATAATCTGTGTGTGTACCATGTGGCATGTGTACCACACAGGACTGTCTCCTTTCAGTTTTAGACTGCTGACAGCCAAAAAACATAATATGAATGAAAATAACTGATATGTTAAGGTGGTAAAATTGTGAGTACTTGCCCCTTTTTAATTTTTTCCTTCAATGCTTGTACAAATAGATTCCCCCCTCTCTCTCTCTTTCACCTGCCCTGATCACTCAATCACTCAGACAGCACCCACCCACATCATGCTTTATCCAAACTGATGAGACAGGAACTCTGTCTAACCCATGCTGGTTACAGCTCTTAAGCTTCCAGCAGTCGCCAGGGTAACAGGCACCTCTGTCAACCAGAAACAAACCTTCCCTTTGCCCTAAGAACTGAAGTTCAGAGGTTGTTCTGGTACTTTCCCCTTCACCTTTCTGTATTACCCTTCTATGTTCTCCACGTTCCTTAACCGCTAGGCTGCTATCTGTTTCTTCAACATGCCTTCTTTCGCATTTCTGGGTTTTCTCAAGTTCATGATAAAAGCATTACAAACAGATTTTAAGCAGCTCTCCCTCTAACCCTCCCTGGAGTTTGAGGGAAAGGTGGTAGGCCAATGTCAACCATAACACCCAGAAGTAAAAGGAAAAAAAATCATTTCAAAATGAATCATGATTCTACTTAAAGGAAAAAAAGAAAAGGAGCACAAAGGAGCAAACCCACAGGAATTTCTATCAAATAGTCACTTTTCTTTACAACCAATAATTAAATCAGATTCGTCAACCACTTTTCACGCAACCTAAAAAAAAATTCTTCATAGGAAAAGATTACATCATGTGATGAATTCCACTCGCAGAACAAATATCTACTGAGGAACAAGTATGGTCCTGGCACTGTAAGAGCAGTCAAAGAGCACACAGTCTATGGAACTCTGGAAGACCCACTGAAGGCGCTGTGGTGTTCAGAAACTGCCTATGCATCTGACAATCCCCTTATGTTTTCAACAAACATCCGACCAAATTATAATGTTATATTAACATTTTTAATTATTTCTTGGTCTATTTCAACTTAGACATGAGTTAGTAATTCCCCCTACTTATAACATTTCTCACATCCTATTTTAACTCCTTGTTTGCTACTGTTTCTCCCCAAGCAGACTGTAGGCTCCTGGAGGGAGCAGGGTACATACATCTCCTGACTGGCGTGGGCTTTGTTGACGTCATGAATGAAAAAGCAGCTCCGTAAAGAGTGGAGAGCTGAATTCCCACTGCTGGGCTCTGGACCTCCCTCCCACACCTTCTGTCCTTTGTCTTTCTTCACACATCTGTCTGTTCCCCATTTATAAATATATTTCTCTTCTTCAATTGCTACTTCCTTTTACAAAAAGGCTTTATTGCCTGTTGGGAAGTTTGGACTTAACCTTAAACCACAATCCGAACTGCCAACTGTCTCCTTCATCTGCATTATACACAATCCCTCAGTTTGGTTTTCTGTTCACCTATGCTGTTTACGCCAGAGTATGACTTCCTTGAGGACAGAAACTCAGTCTCTTTCTGTGAGCTATAACTTCCCTCTCCTATATCCCAGAGTCTAAATCATCCTGGGCTCTTAATCATACCAATCCCTATCCCAAAGTTCAGAAGACACTGAGAAATCTAACATAAAATTCTCAAGTGTTATGTAAAGGAAAACTTAAGAAAAAAAAAAAAAAAAAGAAAAAAACCTTTGTATTAACAAACAAGAACTCTGGGAAGAAAACAGACTCTCAAGCAAGTAATGACATTTCCAGAGTTATAAGAATTCTATGTATTCATACACTCAAGGCAACAAAAGGACTAAAAAATAAAAGCAGATTTCATTACCATTCTGATGTGGCAGTTTTAAAACAAGAAATGGTAGTGTTAAAAAAAAAAGGTAGACTTTACGTACTGCCCTCATGAATAAGACACTTCTGGAGGATTTGTAAGAATTCATAGTAATAACGCAACTGTCAAGTGGCATATACTTAGTAAGTTTTACCATCACCATAAGGATATAACGGAATAAGACCAGCCTATTATGGGATATGAGAGAAAAACCTTAGATCCTGGAGAGCAGACTGCTCACATTTTTAGCAAATAAATAAAGATAAATAAATGGATAAATAACTAAAGCCATCTCTCAACATCTTATGTTGTATCTAGTCATTTGCTTTTTTAAATGCAGCAAATTTAGCTCCCTTTTTACAATAAATGGTTTTGCTCAAGAGGCTGAGAGACACGGTTTGGGGTAAGAACCTTTAGTTCAGAATCTGTACTTTCCAGCGGTGGGACCCTCCTGTTCTGATTCTTAAGCAATGGAATTCCAATGTCCAGGTGACTGGAAGAATTTGGACCGAAAAGCTACAGAAAAGCCTCAAATCTCTGAGCCACCTCTCTTCCTTAATGACCTCTCGTGGCATCCAGCCAACCCCTGGTTCGACAGAAACCAGAATGATCCCCCAAGAAATACAGGGAGGAAAGTGCAACCGTGAGGAAGTGAAACAAACAGTTAATCCACTCACCAACCCAATCTCCTTCTCAAAGACTCTGTCCTCTATGGTAGCTTGCCACATTCCACCCAACAGCAGCTGCTCATGATAATCAATGCCTGACAGATCAGAGAAAGCCCTTAATGTGTCGCCAAGGGGCAGTTCAACAGATGGCATGGTGACTTACAACCAGAATCATTAATTACACTCTCTTATTAGTCCCCGGGCACAGTGCTGAAAATGCTTCCTCAGTGAAAGATGAGCATTTCAGATAAATGACCGTCTGGTACTGCCTGTGAAGTTCCCTTTAGGATTTCTGGTCAGTGTTGATTTCTAAAGCTAAACCATACTATTTTTACAGTTATTTGCCATCTACCAATTTCAAGCTGGCTAGGAATGTGAAGTTCCTACTACCACTGCCCATCATAGCTCCTATAATCATTGCAGGTAAGGATATGGTAAAAAGAGCCCCCTTAAGTCAGTTGACTGTGTTGTAAGGCAAACACTGTAATGTCAGCCACAGGGCTGGCTCAACTTTCCCTTCCTCTGTGCCAGAGAACATGTTCCTGGGTGCAGGGCAGTGGGGTGGGGTCTAGGTAGAAGACACACTATCCCCTCCTCCCTTATCGACTCTGCTGTTTTGTTTTGTTTTTCTGTGTGTGAGGAAGATTGGCCCTGAGCTAACATCTGTTGCCAGTCTTCCTCTTTTTGCTTGAGGAAGATTGTCACTGAGCTAACATCTGAGCCAAACTTCCTCCATTTTTTGTATGTGGGTTGCCACCACAGCCTAACTTGAAGAACGGTGCACAGGTCTGTGCCTGGAATCCAAACCCACGAACCCTGGGCTGCCAAAGTGAACTTAACCACCATGCCACTGGGCTGGCCCCCTCTGCTGTTTCTTTTAATATGTGATTGGTTCTCTAACTCAAAACTGCCCTCCCCTCCCAAAACACTGGCTGCAACTGCTCTCTGTCTCTCTTAAGAAAAGGGCAAACACTACTGAAAAGGAAGCCTAGCAGCTTGAGGCAAGCAAAAGTCCCCAGGTATCCACACTGCTGGCTCTGCTAGCCCAAGGGACTAAGCACTGGGGTTAAACCACCACGCACTTAATTAAAAAGCCAAACAAATGCAGGGTTAGAAACCAGTTCTGAAGCCCCTTCCCAAGGTCACTGAGACTAATGTGAACTCAGGGTAGAAATTAGTTCCTTCTCACAGTTTGAGAACTGGGTTCCACAAACATTACTGTGAAATTTTAGAACTGACTGCAGACAGAGCTTGGAGGCAACTTCACATGGATACGAGTCAGAAATACAGCTCATATAATCCTGAAATTTTTAAGCATTTCCCAAATACTATGGAATAAACACTGTTTGGTTTCACTGACCTCCTGTTCTTTTTGTACCTCAACCTACAAATTGTTTTTTTAATGTGAGTTCAAACTAAAGCAAGGTTAAGATCCTAAATGCTGTGATTTAAGAGTTGTTTCGTACATTCCAATTTGTTCTTTCTCGGACATATAAAAACACGACTTCAATTTTCAACTAGATTCAAATAATTACAATAACTGATGGATGTTCTCATCTCATAAATTTCTTAAAAGACAAAAATGTGTTAGTAAAGGCATAATAAAAATCTCCTAATGTGGGCTACAGGAAGGGAAACATGGGAAGTCTGGGTCTGCCCTGCAATGTACTCACTTCTAGTTTTTTCTCCTTTTCTGACAAAACATCTTTCTGGTTCTGGGTGTACTCCACCAACATCCGAGCCAGCTGGCGCCGGTCTTCCAGTTCTGCCGCCAGGCGCCCGTTATATTCTGCTAGCAACAGACATGCTTCATCTACTGTTTTTGAAAGACGTTCAGCTGCCTCTTTGTCTAAGTACAAATGAGACCAAAAAATAGAGACAATATACAAATCACACAGGCACGATCACAAACATTTCTGGGGGAGGTTAACAGCTTCTGTCCTAATGTACAAAGTCCAAGAATAAGCCAGAATCTGTGGATGAACAATGGACTGGCTCATCGAGAACTCCAAAGGCACTCACTGCTGTCAACAAGACAGGACATTTCTGAATCACCTGGAGTGAGGCAATTGTACAAGGAGGGGAACCTGGCAAAGGATTTCTAAATGTTTATTCCTGCAAAAGCTCTACAAATAAAACAAACAGAAAGATATTTAAGGTCAGATGTGAAATAATTTCTCCTTGCCTCTGAGAATTTCAAAAGTGCTCCCATTCAAATTATTTCATTATGTATTCTTTTCACATTCCTCTGAAATACAAAGCAAGCACTCATTACTTGAGTGTGAAAACTAAAACAAAAAAAACTATACAACAGGTTTGATATCATGTGGTTGGCTGAGGAGCTGGGGACTCAAGCCAGGTCTCTAAATCAGACCTATAGGACTCTACCTCTTAAACTATGGAAGCCTGGAACCTGGGGATGAGCTCTCTCCTTTCGTTCAGCAAAACAGAGGGTCTAATAAGAACAGAGGCTTTCAAATGCTTCTGAACATGACCCGCAGTAAGAAATATACCTTATATAAATACATACGAAACTAAAAGCAACAAAAGCGTCATAAAACAATCCTTATCCTAACATGTGCAAAGTGTTCTACTCCTATTCCATTAAGAGAAATATGTTGGTCATTACCAGACCAATTTCATGTCCAATTAATGGGTTGCAACTCATTGTTTAGAAAAAACCTGTGCTGAGGTATCTACATATAAGAACGAGTATTCTTGGAAAGAAGTGGTGAACAAGGCTTAACATTAGGAAATGAGAGGAAGAGATAAAATGACAATTCGTATTTAAATTAATTGATATAATTAATTACACATGGGTGGTGGTGAGATTAGAACTTTATATATGTATATCTCATTTTAAAAAGGCCTTTAAGGATCAAGAGTAGACGTGTGCTTTCAAACAAAGTGCACCAGAAACTCCAGTAGTTCTGTGGGACAAACTAAAAGTGAGTTACACAGTGATATAGATATGATGTCCCTATGATTACAGGTTGTCAGAGGCGAGAGACCTCAGCATTCTAACAGGTAATTCAGAATTCAGAATTCCCAACAGTTTCTGTGTTTGGCAAAATGTCTGGCATTTAGATGTCTTCCTAATGTGAACACTGGGAGATGAGCTGCTGAGGGATTCCAAATTAGGTCTGATACCAAAGATCAGGCGCTTCTGTCCTCTTCTGGGATACGGAAACAAATAGATGTTCTTGGTGAAGGAGATGGAGTGAGCCAAACAGAATACAAAAGAAAGAGATGACCTCAGTTAGAGAGGGTAAACAGGACAGCAAACCTATTCCTCTACATGGCGTTACAGTCTGGGAACAAGCTGCTGGGGTGGTTAGCTGGGTTTTAGCTTTGTCATTGCTTGACTATACGATTTTTTAAAAAATGGTTAATTCATTGAGATGTTTGAGTGTGTGTGGCAAAAAAAATTAGTGTTTTCCTTGCCGTTCAAGGTTTCTAAAAAATCAATTCTCACCCTGTAAGAACTTGTTCAAGAGAGAGAATTCATTCACACAATTACAACCCAGCAAAATAACTTGTAACAGTTTGATGAGCTATAGAAAAAATGCAGTCACAATGTAGCAGCAAGATGCTGCTTTGGAGAACTTACCTGTGGTTGTCCTCACACGCTCTGCCCTCCAAGTTACACAGATGAGTGGCGGTGTGCCTTTCGACCAGCCCTCCACTTGTGCACAGGCATTCCACCCCCTCTTTCTTCCTTCAAGATTCAGTTTCTGCGGCTGTCCCCTGTGCTTCCCCATGCCTCATCAATTTCTCTCTCTCCTGAAGCATGACCATCAGCATACAAACATGCTCTCCAGCTATTCATCCATTTCCCTGCTCCCTTTACAGCAGAACTCCTTAAAAAAGTAATCTATACTCCTTGTAACCCCCTCCTCTTCTACCATTGTCACTAAACCAACTCCAATCAGACTTTTATATCTAAAATCTTCCAACTGGCTTAACAAAGACGTGGTTTCCTATCGTGTGCCCAACACTGTTCTAGGCTCTCAGAGTCAGCAAGGAACACAAAGGACAAAAACTTTCTATCCCCAAGGAGTTCATATTCTCAGGTAGGAAGAGAAACAATATACTGTATTTTACTTATTTTTCAGCTAAAGATAAGAACTATAGAGAATGGGGCTGGGCCGGTGGCGCAGCAGTTAAGTGTGCACGTTCCACTTCGGTGGCCCTGGGTTCACCGGTTCAAATCCCAGGTGCAGACATGGCACCGCTTGGCAAGCCATGCTGTGGCAGGTGTCCCACATATACAGTAGAGGAAGATGGGCACGGATGTTAGCTCAGGGCCAGTCTTCCTCAGCAAAAACAGGAGGATTGGCAGCAGATGTTAGCTCAGGGCTAATCTTCCTCAAAAAAAAAAAAAGAACCATAGAGAAAAATAAGACAGAGAGAAAAAATGGGGCACTGAGAGGGAGGATTACAATTTTAAATAAGGTGACCAGGGTAGGCTTCACTGAGGTGATACGTAAACCAAAGCCCGGAGGAAGTGAGAACAAGCCATGTGACTCTGGGGAAGATCATTCCAGGCAGAGGGAACACCAAACACAAAGGCCCAGGAGGGGAGAGTGCCTGGCCAGGAGCCCCTATGACTGGAGTGCTTCAAGTAGAGGGAGACACGAAGCAACTGCCACTTTAACAGAGCATTCTGGTTACTATGTTGAGAAGAGAATGATGGCTGGGGTGGGGACAAGGAAGCGGGGACACCAGGTAGGAGGCTACTGTAACAATCCAAGTGAAGATGGTGGTAACCCACACCAGGTGTAAGGGTAGAGGTGGTGACAAGATGTCAGAAACTAGTTTTGGTCCTGCTCAACAGAAATGATAAAAGGTCGTTTATGGAGATGGGGAAGACCATGAGAGAAATGAATTTTGGAGGTAAGATGAATATTTGGTTTGGGATAAAGTTTAAAATGTCTTTTGAGACATCCAACTAGTAACACTGAGCAGGAGGCTGGATATATGGGTCTCAAGTTCAAGGGAGGGGTCAACATTAGAGATGTAAATTAGGGAATCACTAGCATAAAAATTGTTATTGAAAGTCATCAAACTGGATGAGAGGAACCGTCACTGAAACTAGCTAGAGAGGAGAGCTAAGTGCTCAACATTAAGAGGTCAAGAAGAAGTGAAGAAACTAGCAAAGGAGACTGAAAAGACATGGCCAGAGAGAGAAGAGGAAAGCTACGAAAAATGGGGTCCTAGTCTCCAACGCTGCTGTAACAAATTACCACAAATTTATTGGCTTAAAACAACACAAATGTATTCTCTTAATATTTATTGTTGTGGCCCTTTCCTCTATCTTCAAAATGCACCACTCCCCAACTTCTGCTTCCACAGTCATATCTCCTTCTCTGACTCTTGTCCTCCCATCTTCCTCTTTTAAGCCCTGTGACTACACTGGGCCCACCCAAATGAAACAGGATCATCTCCCCATCTCAAGATCCTTAACTTAATCACATCTGCAAAGTCCCTTTTGCCATGTAAGACAATATACTCACAAGCTCTGGAGATCAGAACATGGACATTTTCGGGGGGTCATCATTGTGTCTGCCACATCAAGTGAGAAAGTATTCTCAGGAAGAAGAAATGATTAACTGGGCCAAATGTTACTTAGGTCAAGTTAAGATGACCTCAACTTAAGATTAGGCAAAAAAATCACAATTGAATTCAGCAACATGGAAGTCATCACCAACACTGATAAGAAGAGTTTCAACAAAGTGGAATCAAGAGAAAGAGAGCAGGGAAAATGGAGACAGATGAGCAGAGGCAATCTATTTAGGATAGGATGTTTTGCTATAAAGAATAGAGAAATGAGGCAGTTGCAAGATGAAGATACGGATCAAGAAAAAAGTTTTTCCCATATGGGAAAAAAATACCTGGTTTTATGCTGTTGAGAATGATCCCGTAAAGGGAAAAAACAGAAAATGAAGGAAAAAAGGGGAGACCTATTGGAGCAATGTCCTTCAGTAGATGAGAATGAACGGGTCTAACAATCAGGGAGAGGGGCTGGTTTAGAAAACAGCATGTTCTGCCACAGAAATAGGAAGAAAAGTCAGCCAATGTGTCTTACTTGTTTTTCCCAGCCACATTCAGCTGTGCGGGCACAAGAAAGGAAGAGATGAAAAGCTGGACTTAAGAATGGTGGTTACCAGGGGCTGGGGGAGGAGGAACGGAGTTGTTGTTACTTAATGGGCATAGAGTTTCAGTTTCATAAGATGAAGAGTTCTGGAGGTTGGTTACACAACAACGGGAATGGACTGTTAACACTACTGAACTGCACACTTCAAAACGGTTAAGATGGTAAATTTTGTTATGTGTATTTTATCACAATTAAAAATCAAAATAAGTAATTAAAAAAAGCCAATGAGAACTTTAGGTCAGTGAAAACAGACAAATGAAATCATACACATTGCTAGCTTTACATTAATTGTTTCCAATTTTTGCGGCTTGTGATTCTGACAGTAAGAATAAATGTGGTGGTCCTTACAATAATAATACACTCATGCACCACATAATGACACCTCCGTCAATGACAGACCACATCCCCACTGTCAAGTGAAACATGACTGTAATAAAAAACTTGGATTTAACCAGGAGAAACACTGGATTTTTGCCAGGAGGCTACAGTGAAGGGGAAAGAGAGGAAAAGGGATTGAGGGTATATGTGAGATAGTGATTACAGAGACTCTAGGCTGAGCAAAGAAGAAAATGAGGACATAAGGAGAGTGAAGGCTGGGAAAATGTGGAAGGATCAATAGACTATGGGATCAACGACTGTTAAATCCAGTAGGGTTTCAGCGTTGGAGCTGGCGAAGTAGATGAAATGAGCCGAAATGCTTCTTATATGATGTAGAAGGCCTCCGTGTTGAGTTCTCCAACTAAGCACGCTCCTGACTGAAGGTCTTTACAACTACTGTCCCCTCTGTCTGGGTGGCACTTCCTTCCCTCAGATATCCTCACAGTGTGCTTCCTAATTTATCTGGGCCTCTGATCAAACAGCATCTCATCAGAAAGGCCTTCCCTGACACCTTTAGAATAGAACCTCCTTCAATCATTCTCCATCCCACAGCCCCATAGTACTTTTCTTTTTTGCACTTAACCCCTGAAGGAACGTGGAAACCAAGGGCATCTGCCACACAGTGTACCTCAAATATTTGTTGAATGAAGGAACTACTTCAGGAACAACCTTGATTTCCCTCAGATGGATAGGGAGGAAATTAGTGAAGCAGCCAAGTCAAGGAAGAGACCAGAAGGGGAAAATGGTGGCCCTCAGAAAAAGTGAACAAAACGTCTGAGCTTTTGTAATGGGAAGAACATAGGCTTTGCAGCCTAGGTTGGACTCCCAAGATCCACTATTTGTGTGACCTTGGGCAAGACACCGAACTTCTCAAAGCCTCAATTTCCTCCTATGCAATATGGGGATAGACATTCACCAATCTCCAAAGATTATCAAGAAGAGTAGAAATATTTCACACAGAGCATACTCTATAAATATTAGTTCATGCTTCATTTCTTCAATTTCACAAGCATAAAGTGGGAATAATGTCAACTGCCACTCCCTGTTTAATTGGGGGTGATCATCAGGAGGGTAAAATGACACTAACAATACATACCTGGAGTTCTTGCCATTGAAGGCACTATCATCTATGGGGTGTGTCAGTGCACAGTGTATACATCACACAGTGCTGAATCATAATTTTTTTTTCTTTTAGTAAAAAGGTCGTGAGTTTAATGCCCTCTCCCTCAGCCTCCTGCACATACAGTTTGCGCTGTTTTCAACAGACCATACTTAGCATGCCTGGGGTTTGATGCATTAGAGATATGTTCCTGTTCCCTCACCTTTTACCCAAACTCTATCTTCTCACCTGTTATTTTTTCCAATAGAGAAACATCTTGCACTTCCTGGGGCAAAGAAGCAATTTTCTGTCGGACAGTAGCATCCCCCGATGCGGCATTTTCCAGGTCCTGCAGAGCTTTGATGAGTTCCTCAGTCTGGACGAAGAGAACACAAACAACACTATCCAGTAAGACACACGGAGTTTAAAAGAAACTAACTGGGAGTTAAATGAGGTGGAGGTAAAGTCTAAAGGATCATTCTGGACATGTAAAAAGATAACTGTTCTTAGTCCCAGAGCTGATGCTGAAGTCAACGAGATGTACTCTAAGAGAAGGTACAAAGGTAATTTTTCTAAGTCCATGGCCAAACGTGAAGAAAATTCTACATAATTCTTTAAAAACACAATTTTTTTAAAGAGTATATTTTTAGCAACTTAAGAAAATGGAGTCTGGTTCACCCTGTCTAATTTCAAATGATGCATAATTTCTAGTACAGAATGGTCTCCAATATAGAATAAAGGTACACGTATCAGATGTTGAACAACTCTGTGTTGACTGATTAAATGAAATGACACCACCTACTCTAATTCTTTCTTGGGTTTGCTTTACAGAACGATGTTGCAAGATGACATTTTCAATTTCGGCAGCCACTCCCAAAATTAAATGTGTCAAACTCATTAATTACAAACAAGGGGGAAAAGAAAATCAGGAAGAACAAACCAATTTGCATACTCTGTGTATACCAAAAAGGAGTTTTTAAATTGTCAGAAAACACAGAATGCTGACAGGTTAGCCCGTGCATAATGACCCAGGAATAGTTAACAATGTAGATGGTGGTCAGGTTATCCTGAACAGTGATAATTCAGGATGTTCTCTTGAAGTGCTTAAATGCAAAGATACATGGACCAACACTGCCTTCACTTATCCCCCAGTTTAGTTTGACATTTTAACATAAGACAAACCAGACAGGCTTCCTCTTTACATAGGCCTTGAACACACCTATATGCAATGAAGAAAAGCTGTTTTAGACAAAATCAGGGGCAGTGTAACTCAGGGAAAACAGCATGAGCTCTGACGTTAGTCAGACCCGGATTCAAATTAAGACATCGGGCAAATTACTTAATCTGTCTCCTTGGGCCTCATTTTCTTTGACTGTAAATAAATAAGTAAAGAGCTAAAATGAACCAACCACACAGAGTTCATGGGTTAACTTATATAAGAGCCAAATAATGCAAATATATGGTTAAAAACTCAGTAAACGGTAGCTCTCTGTTTCAATAAATAGGTTATATTATAGCAAATTTGCTATTGCCACGCAGACTGGCCACAGAAACTAATGAGTTGTTTACTTACAAAAAACAACCTTTCCACTGGGGACAAGCCACAGCAGAGGACTTCTGAACGGTAACATTATATACCCCTTTCACAAAAATCTCCTTTGTAAAAATATTTTCAACTCCTAGGAATGACAAAAAGCCAAGTCGACATACTCCATAAAACAGAAATCCGTCCCAGAGTCACGGCATGCCAAGACAAAGGCAACCTGCCGCCTGCCAAGCTTCACTGGGTGGCTCTTGCACCCACTGCCCTGGGAGCTGCCCTCTGGTGATTCCCTACTAGTGGTCACCACCGCCACCTAGTGGCCATAATCTTTAACTAGAGGTCACTTCACCAACCCGCTGTGCCCTACACTCTGGGGGTCAAGACATACCAAGAGGGGTCCTGCAGAAGGATCTTGGGGAGAGTAGCTTCCAGGGTAGTCATCATCCTCCTCCTCTTGTATCTGCTGAAAAGTTCGCTTCAGAGACTTCTTCTCCTCTGTTGCTAGACGAAAGAAAAAAGTGACAAATCTGGGTCACAAAAGCCTGCATAGGTAAGAGTCAAATGCTATGTACAATGGGTCACATGTGAAAAAGGGCAGAAGGGGTGTCTATTTCCAAGATGGCTTAACATTAACCTTTATGCCTGGTCTTTTAAATTGGTGGTAGTTCCCTACATTACTGAAAAGTCAAAATGGCCTTAGTCTGTCATCTCAGATTCACTCACTTGAAAAACACTCCTGAAAACAAGCATCTAAAACTTGTTAGCAAACTAACGTATTTGATTTAAAAAACCTCATTATCTTAAAAAAAAAAGTTAACAGAAGTAAAGTGGTAAGAAACCCATCAGATAATAAAGCAAGCCGATGTGTGCAAGAGTTTGTAGAGAATGTACTACATATAAAATGAGATACTTTATGCTTTCAAGGATAATTTCAGAAAATCAAAAGTAGAGAGAAAAAGTAGAGAGAGTAGAAATAAAATTGTGTCAAAAACTCTAAACACAAATATCCTTTAAACTATCCTTTTAAAAGCAAAACAAACCTAATTTTACCTTAAAAATAACCATTACTAGAAATATGATTGACACTACTAAGACAAATGACTTAAGTTACCAGTTTAAAATTAACCACTTTTGAGGCTAACAGGTTACATTTTTTATTATTTGTATCATATGCTTTTAAATTGTTATGACATGTGTTAATTCCAAAATCATTCCTTTTGCATCAAATTGGACAATACAAAATACATGCCAAACCACCATGGGACATAAATCTAAGTGATAAATTCAGGTTTGGAAAGTCAAGAAACTATCGGACACCTAACGTGTGCCAGGCATTGCAATCGTTTCTTTACATTTAATCCTCAACAATTCTAAGATGTAATATCTCTATTTTTCAAGTGAGAAAATGAAGACCCAGAGAGGTTAAATAACTCAACTAAAGGTATGGCTTCAAAATCTGTGCCCTATCCACTGCAGTCGAATTACTTAGCGACACACAACTACCCTCTCATCTGTCAAATGAGGGGTTACCATGCACCTGCCTCAGAACTCTGTGAGTCATACACAGAATAACGTACACTTCTTGCTTAATTAAACACTTTCTTCTGGAATCAAGGATGTAGTTCCTGTTTCCTACCTTATACATTAACTGACCAAACTATGTTTGACGTGAAAGCAAAGTCAATATCATGTTTCATCTTTTCTTAATGTTGTTTGTCTATTCTACTGAAAAAAAAGAAACAGCAGCATTTGCAGTAGAGGCAGTCCTCACTTTGCATGATTCTATTATGCACGGATTTATTACCACTGTGTAAACGACACCAGTCCCCCCAATAACATGGTTCAAATTTCAGATACCATGGTGTGTGAATCCAGAGTAACTGCACAAACAACAAACTCCAGGGCTAACTTCAGCCCACAGACCACTATGTAAATAACACAAGTGCATCATGATCGCTGATCACATTACTTCTTTCAAGGTCAGTGATGGGTCACTGCACATTTGTTATTCAGTTCACACAGACGGCAAAGTGTTTAGTTCTGTTGTCTCCCAGTGATAAAATCCACGTGACGTTTTATAAAAATGACTAATCAAAACAGGGAACCGACTGAGAAAGATGAAAGCGCAGCAAAGAAACTAAAATTAATGCTGGAAGAGACATGTGAATGGAACATAAATGGAGTTGTAGAAGAAACAGCTGGCTGTAGGAAGGCTGGTGCTGTCATACCCTTCTAGAGACCAGATTCACAGCAAGAGGAATTTAGTGAAGGCCAACATAGCAACAAAAATGAAGAAAGGGGCTGTGATGAAAAGGATGACAATGTCTTAGAGTGATGCTGACAAAAAACTTCATATTAAAGGAACTCTCAGAGATATTTCATGACACTGAAAGCACAAGGGATGAAATGCTGGAAGCTGATCCAAATTTAGGAAGAAGTATGACAATACACTAAGACAGAAAAGATGCTTCTTCCATATCATCAATTATCTAAGAAAGCAACCTTTGTTCAACCCACTCTTGATAAGTTTGTTACAAAGAAATAAAACACTTTAATTCTCAATGTTTCTAATTTTTCATGCCATAGCACAATAAATAAATACTAGTTTTAGAATCTTCTTTGTTTCTCTATACATTTGTAATCAACAGTGAGCTTTCAATTTTTTGACAAAAAAATTTTAAAAGTCATAGAACAATCATGATTTTTCCCATTGATTTATTAAGATCACTTTGCATGGTTTCAGCTTGCATGGTCATTTTTTACAGTTTTGCACTACTATGCAAAGCAAGGACTGCTATATTTCTAAAACAGAAAATCTGTTAGGATATAATTTGCATGTGAAATATCTAACAGTACTTAGCACACAGCAGCTGCCTAATTTATCTATAGTGTGTGGTATGGCCCCCCCAGACATTTAGCCACTACAGCATCAAAGTGGCTGTGTGGAGGAGTGGCCACTAGAATGTAACTCCAAGGGCAAAAAAAAAAACTTATGTTCTGTTCACCTCCGAGCACCTGCTCAATAAATAAATAAATAGATGTTAAATACACAAAAGAAGGTAGAAAAACTTATAAATTTTGAATTCTTCAGTTTTCAAACTCTCATACAGAAATTATTACATATAAAAACCACACATCACCAAATATCCTAGGACACTCAGAATCACGAAAGTTGGCACTGGAAGGCCTTAGATAGACCTGTTTCTGTTTTCCCCACCTATGTTTTTTCACGAGCATATCAAGGTCCACAGGCTGCGGTTTGTCCAGAGTCTGAGAGCTCGTGAGTCTAAGTCTGGATCCTACAGTCAAAGTCGTCTGCCTCCTAATCTGGAGTTTTTACCACTTCATGCTGCCACTGACTCATTAAAAATTGAAATCAAACTGATGAAAACAGTCTCAGGGCCATTTCCGTCCTCTGCCATGCTGATGCAAGAGGGTATAGCAGGAGGTAACTATATCATTCTACTTTTCCAGTTCTCGCTTATCTCCACTTGGAGGACCTACTAGAAATGAATTATTCATCATTCCCCCTTCGGGTTCCTTCTTTGCTGAGCTGTCTATTTCCACTATGAACACTTTCACTGGCCCCATCTTCCAACCACAAAGCCTGAGACCCCCGGAATCTCTCTTGAAGTCCCCACTTCTAGCAGATGCCACACCTCTGAGGGATTCTTACATATCTCCTCTTCCTACTCCTTCCCACAGCCTCTTACCAGCAATCTGTCTTTTATCATGTCTCGTCCCGACCACTGTTCCAACCAATCCTCGCCTCCAGTCACTCCTTTTCCAACTCAGACTACACTCTTATGAAATTAATCTCTCTAAAGCTGAGCTCTCACCCCGTCACACCTCTATTTGAAAACCTGGAATGGCCACCTAAGTTCAAAGCCTACTTGTGGTAATGGTAACATCATCTCGAGCACTCCCTCCTCTCAGTCAGCATCATCTCCCTCTAACTCCCACAGCACTGGGGCCTCTCTTTGAAAGTGCTTGGCCCTTGCTACTTTGTATGGCCATTGGCGGACACAGGCCTTACCTCTCTGATAGAAACACTGAATTTCTTATTCCTTTACATTCCTATAATACCTAGACAAGCGTCAACAGACCTGTTTGAAACCTCTTGAAGGCAGAGGAAGCATAGAGCTTGAAGAGTGCTAGAGCCATGCCAGAAACGACTATCAATGCTTCCCTTTACACAAATGGGACAGCGTGCTCTAGCAACTCTCCCCTGACTCACTAGTACCAAGTTAGCAGTGTTCTCAGTGTAGTCAGACAGCCATTAAAAATAGCCTAGGAAATCTGTCAGTCCATTCCTACGCCTAAGATAAGGCACCTTCCACTCTCAAGTTGGCTTCTGATCACAGTATCTACACTCCCTTTTTCACTCACTCAACCACTCTGTTTACAGGCAGGGCAAACACTATGGGTGGCCAAAACCAGCCTGTCCTCATATTGTGCACCTTCTATTCTACCCTCCAATCTGTCCCTGGGTCTCCAGGGGGCTTGTACTCAGCTAACCTTCAAGTCCCTCTGGTACCTAAGAGTTTATGGTATGCCTCTTGGAGACCTGATTGTGGTAGATTCCAGACATTATGGCAAACTGTGAAACTAATTTTAAGGCAAAAACCTAGACTGAAGGATCGCAAATAACATTACAAAATGCAGCCGTCTACCCATAAAGCTGGATCTTCTAAAGGATCCACTTGAAATTTTCTGTGATTAAAAAAAAAATCCCACAGATTTTTATTATTTTTAGAATGAAAAAAGAATCAGGAAATATTGTTGGCAACAGCTCCCTCATTCTTTGCTCCCTCCCTGCAAAATAAGGGGAAATTTTTAAAAAAGCATATTAAACTTTACTTGTAGAGAGAAAAAGGTCTGCAGCAAGCAAAGGGCTAACACCCAAGGCACAGCTCTGACCGTACTACCCGTATCACTCACTGAACTGAGCGGCCAGGTCTGGACTTGAACCTGGGAAGCTGGGCCTAGAGCTCCTGCTCTTAACCCTTGTGATTTTGCCTGGCACAAAATCTGGGGGACTGAAAATACTAACCAATCTCCCCCACTTTTGCTACTAGTTCATATCCAGAAATTTAGAATATCAGATATTAGAACAGGGCAGGGGGAATAAAAATCATATCACATTAATAACATCTTACCTACATTATCTCAAGTAATCCTCACAACAACCCTATGAGGTATTACTATTAATAGCCATATTGTACAACGAGGAACCTGAGGCTCAGAGGGGTCAAATGCCATGCCCAAGGTCACACAGCTTCGAAGTGGCAGAGCTGGGATTAATACACTGGTAGTCTCATTTCAAATCCTTGCTCTGAATAGCTAAACTAACTATATTAAGGTCCAGGAAAGCTGGGTGACCTGTTCATGAATCCACACCTTAATTCAAGTCTACTGAATCCATGTGGTTTCAAGGAAAAAGTATGGTGCGAAGAACACAGGCTTTAAAGTCATATAGAAGTGGGTCTGAATTCTCTACTTACCAATTACATCTATTTGGACAAAATTACTATACCCTTTTGAGCCTTAGTATTCTCATCTGAAATATGAAAATAATACCAAATTCAGAGAGTAGTCATAAGGGTTTAAAATAAATGAACACGAAAAGCAGCCAGCAGAGTGGCTGGTGTCTAACAGTGCTCAATAAATGCTTTTCCCTTTGTATCTACAGTTCCTTTCTAAATCCCGCAACTATAGGATACCGCGTGATTCACATGTGACTCAAGTAAATAACGAAGTTCCATTCAGTCAAGCAGCAGCCTGAGTATTCCCTAGAACAGAGAGACAACTCTAGAACACCTGGGGAGACAGGTATATAAACTCTAGAAACCTCGAGTTCTAAAACAAAATTCCTAAACTCACACATTTTCCAATGCTAGAAGATCTGTCAAAGTTTCAAAGCAAAAATGTTATTTCAAAGTTAAACTCTAAAAAGTTGTCTGAAGACAAAGAATTACCCATGAATCAAAGCTGAAATCTGAAAGGACTATTTAAATTTGGAAATAAACGTCTGAAGAACTCATCAGTATTTTGAAAGGACTGTGGTAAAATATTCTGATAACTCAGGTCCAAAGACGACAATGCGAAGACAGAGTGAGTGAGTTGGGACTATACACACATTGTAACCTTTTGAGATGTGTCGTCTTTACAGAACAGAGAAAGAAATTATCCCTGGACCAGCATTACCCTCCACATAGAGGAATACCGGCTCTACTGTTGTTAATGTCTAGACGCTCAAAAAAAAAAACCCAGAAACTCAAGGGAGCTATTTTCAAATCTACCACTGCCACAAATTCCCCAATTTGTCTGACTGCTCCCTGAGTGCAGAACCATTTCTCACTCCTCTCGTTCTTTCCTGTAGCATCAAGCATAGCAGTTACTCAAAGTACATATCTGGCAAATGCTTGGTGAATTGAAATTCAACACTTAGCTTTAAACATCATCTTCCAGAGCTCTCCTATTTGCCTTAAAGGTATTTTAAAAAATCAGCACTGTTTACCAACGAACTCTAAGACTGAGCAGAGAAAAGAATGCTGGATACTTCCCCAACGCTCTGCAGAACATCTCCACAGGACACAGTACAAACACTATCAGAATCCAAAACAGAACACCTTGCTTTCCAGAAGCTACCACCAGAGTGATCCCAAAATTGTTTTCTACAACTCCAAGTAAAACAAAAATGACCTGCAGCCTGTAAACACTTATGTCATTCTTAGAAAGCCTCTAATCTTTCGTTTCACAGGAAAGTGAAATGCATATAAACTCAGCCCTGGAAGAGATCATGAAAGGTAAACAATAAAGGCTTACTGAATGAATGATATTATCATATGCTAATCATGGCTAAGTTCTACGGCAGAGACATGTACAAAGTACCAGAGGAACACAGAGGGAATGGCTACACATGCCCAGACAAGATAGAGAAGGTGTCAGAATGAGAACAGCATTCTTGAAGAGGTCACCACACAGTAAAAGGGACAGAAGGACGTTTCAGGCAGAGGCAACAGCAGATACAAAGGAAGTGGTGCCAACTGAGCATCCAGAGGGGAAACTGCTGGTAATTTAGAACGGTCCAAGAATATGGTGTACATGAGGGAATGGCAACATCTGGAAAAGCAAACTAGTTCAGATTATAAAGGGTCCTAAATACTATGTTAGTACTTGGACTTGATGCTCTAGGCAATGAGTGTGTGTGCAGTCAGAGCAGATCTGTAGCTTAGAAACATGTCATGCCAACTAGAATCAAACTGCAGCTAACCAGAACCCAAAGAACCAAATAACGTTTGATCTTACTCCTCTTTAAAGAAAAAAAATAACATAAGCTCTTAAGAAAGAAGTGGTAAAATTCACACACATACCTGTCCACACTTCCTGAGGATATCCTGGGTTCAGTAAAGACCAAAATCAATTTTAGACGGCAAGCTGATAACCATCAAAAGTATGTTCCAAAGTCACATCAGTATTTAATGAAACCAAGTTCTAAAAGGGCTAAGGTACTATTCAAGATCCTACAGCAGTTAGTGCAGGGCTAGGACAAAATCTTAGTCCTGAGTACTGCCTAGTTTCCCCCAACTCTAGACAACTTTGTTGTTCCTCTCCCTTGTGCAAAGAAAGTCTCTGAAAGGCAGGAGAGAGCCAAGGAGAATACAGAGCAAAATTCAGGGTGTGAGATGATGAATAGCATGAACACTAGAACCAGGCTTACACGCTTCGAGCACTACATAAATTCTCACCATCATTTATGATCATCTCTCTCTGAAGAATCATATAATCGCTGGTGGTTCACAGCAACCCCCACTGCAGCTTTTCATATTTGATTCGAAAGTAGGCAAAGACCAAGAGCTGTAAACATGTGGTGATGTTTCTACCTTTGGGGGGAGGGCTCTTGGAGTCCTCCATAGACAGCTTCAGCTGCTGTATGAACTCGCCGCCATACACACTTCTTTCTTGCCAGATGTTCAGCAATCTTTCTAAAGGTTTTTTACAGCCTTCATCTGCCTCTCTGCCCAGAAAAGACGAAAAGATATGTATAAGCTTAAGATTTTTTGTTTTTGATTATGACAGATCTGCTTAAAAAAAAAAATCAACAACTGACTAAATGATTTACATATTTAAAAACAGAAGGAAGAGTAAGGTACATTTTGTGATAAATGGTTACCCACAACTTGACCAGAAACTGCATTCTTCCTGTGGTGCACAGGGATGAGAGAGGAATTATGTTACAGAAGTAATCTGTGCCTTTTATCCCCTTTGAGAGATGGGGCAAAAAGGGCAAAAAGCCAATGGTTGATTTTTACAGACAGAGAATTATCAAAAATCGATCCTATTAATTGTGACAGATTGCTTTTTAAGAAGACGTTAACTGAAATCTAGTGCCAAACATTCTGCTGGAAATTAAAGGGGGGCCAAAACTTTTAAGGATAGAAAAAAATTTTCTAAAAAACCCACAAATGTTTAAAATTGGGAATAAATTCACTACAACTCATCAATGCTAACACACCAAGACCTCTACAAGTATAAATACAATTGTCCATGCATATATGCCAAGACTGATCTCAACTTTACATTAACTACTTCTTTTTTTTGGTGAGGAAGATTGCCCCTGAGCTAATAACTGTGCCAGTCTTCCTATTTTGTACGTGGGACGCCACCACAGCATGGCCTGATGAGCACTGTGTAGGTCTGTGCCCAGGATCTGAAACCGCAAACCCTGGGCCACTGAAGTGGAGCAAACTTAACCACTAAGCCACCGGGTCAGCCCCACACTTCATGATTTTTTAATTCTGGACGAGGTTTGTATTCCAGGTGCACACAAAAGTGTCTAACAGATAATCTTAGAACACAGTGAGTATAAGACTGTCCTCTGTAATTTATTTCTGAAAGAAGCAAGTTTTTTTCCTGACATATTATAATCCTGAAACAACATTTTTCAATGAGCTGACTATAACTAGCACTTGATGTGAACCAGCTGCTTGCCATAAAATGGCAGACAGCAAGTGGAAGAGTGGGGGGAGACTTTCTGAAAGGAAAACGAATTCCCCATCCTCCACTGTGTTACGATGAACCGTTCTGGTTTGGAAAGCTGTCCGGATGTCAATGATCTTACACTGAGTGACTTCAAACAGGAAGGGATACCCTGACATCTCAGTATCTAAGTCAATATCTTTAATGGGAACTTCAAGAAGAAACCACACCAAATGCACCGAGATGGGAATTTCACCTCCCCTCAGCCCTGACAGCACTTTTCTAAAACTTATGTTAACATTCAAGGTGAAGTGAGGTTTCAACCTAATCCAGTCATATTGTATTACTTATGAATTATTAGCGACAAGTTTCACTGAATTGGGGTCCAAGTACTAAATCAGGGTACATACAAATTATTTTTTCTTAAACCTTTTTTCTTTTAGTCAAAGGTGAGAGAGAGGAAAAAAAGGTAAAAACATTTCCACTAGTAGTTTATAAAACTTGAAGATATGACCTAATTATTTGATATTTGAGATCAAACACTTATTCCACCTTCAAAATATATCTAGAAACAAATTACTTCTCACCTCTTCTGCTAACAACCTGGTCCAAGCCACTATCATCTCTTGCCTGATTACTACAACAGCCTCATTATCGGTCTCCCTGCTTCCACCCTTGTCCTCCTACAATCTATTCTAAGCTTTAAAAACATAATTCTAACTAGTGTGTTAAGGCAGATGACGTCACTCTTTTGCTCAAAACTTTCACGGTTTTCTCATTCTCCCTCAGAATACAGTGAAAGTTCTTATAAAGCCTATGATGCCCTTCTCAACCCAGCCCATTATTCCGAGGCCTTATCTCCTACTTCCTGACCTCCTCCCTCCCCTACAACTACCCTGGCCCTCCCGCCTCAGGGCCTTTGCACTTAAAGTTCACTTGGCCTGGAACCACGTTTCCCCAGGTGGTGGCATGGCTCGTTCTCTCTCCTCCTTCAGGTGTATACTTACCTTACATAGCACCTTTTCAGTGAGTCCTTCCCTAATCTCCCTATTTAAAATTACACTCCCTAGCCCTATTTAACTTTTCTCCACACAACTTATCTTGTGATATGCTATACACTTTACTTGTTGTTTACACTCCTTGCATTTGAATGTAACTTTCTCAGGGGCAGGGATCTGTCTTTTTCTCCCACTGCTAGCCACCCTAGAACAAGCACAACAAATATCTGTCTGATCGCAATCTTTTTTGAAAAACTTTAGATAGGTTTCAGTAGCCCAAAAAATTAGTTAACTTTCAGCAATCATCTTTAAATCAAGGTCATTCATGTCAGACATCAACTAAGCACTCATGGCTCATTCAATGAGGTTTATGAATTACTGCGCTTGGAATATGAATAAGGCATACGTCCTGACCTCTAGGCCTTGACCCAGGAGCCCTGCAACCTTTCCGTACCCTACCTGGGGCTTCACATTCTACCAACACTAACCCTACGTATTTTCTATGCAGAACCTGCTCCTTCTCAGGCATGAGCTTTTGCTCATGGTATCTCCTCTCCTTTGAATGGAACATCCAATAGAACAAGGTGAAGAGGGAGAAGCTGTGAGTAACTCAGGTGGCTTAAGTATATGGGGAAGGTGTGGAAATAGCAGAAGAATCTGACGATGGACTGGAATTGGATTATAGAGGGCCCCAAATGCTATATTAAGCATGTGGCCTTTATCCTAAAGGCAATGGAAGTCCCTGATGTGATCAAATGTATGGCTTAGAAAAATAAAGTCATTATAACCAAATCACAACTAATCAGAACTTAATTAACTGGCTGGTACTTCTAACATATAATCTGTTCTCTGCAAATTCTCTGATCACTTAAAAAGAGAAGCTAATCATGACAACAAACGCTTATCAAGGATTTAGTTAAAAGAGAGGGGAGGGGCACAACACCCACCTACCCACCCACCATCGACAATTCCTGGGGATATTGGCACTCAGTTAAGACTAAGACTGATTTTGAGTACAGCTTCAGCCACATTACTATACAGTAGAAACTGATGCTCAAACCTGTTGTAACCAAAGGACATTTTCAAAAGGCTTTCACCACTAAAGGCTAAAGCCAAAACGGGGCTCTAGTTTAATCAGTGAATGTAATGAACCAGGATTCCTTGAGCACTATAGTAAATCAAGGTTTTGCCAGATAAGTTTCAAAGTTACAGAGACAACACTCAAAAAATCTTTTTACTGATGACGTTTTGCCATAAGTAGCTCCAATGAATTAGAAGTCATTTTAGCACCTGGAATCGGATACAACTAAAGCAATACAGTTGTTTTACAACAGAAGGAGCTATATTTTCAGGTTGCACTAACTCCATTCTAAATTGAGAAACTGTTAGTGAAAAAACAAAAAAATCTTTGCTGCTAATCAATGAATAAACTGCAAGATGATAAATAACTACATACATAACTTATTACGTTGAACACAACTTAGTATGTATTTTAACTGCTTAATTATAAATTCAATCACTGCAAAACTGATGTAAAAAGTGAAAAGTGTGTATTATACACACACGAAATTGCTGCTTGAAGTGTCAGCTGGATACCTGAGGCCTTGCCCAGCCAGGTTGGGGGCCTTTTCTTCCTCTGTAGTTCTAACGGCACTTCCTTGGTACAGCCACTATAATTTGTGTGTTTCTGTTTTATCCCTTGCACTGTAGGCCTATGGTAGACTTACTAAAGGCAGGAATTCTTTTTAAGTATCCCCAGCACTTCCAACAGCACCTCATGCAAAGCTGGAGCAGAAATGTTCTCTGCAATTGTGCAGAAGAGTTAACACAGCAAGCAGGAGACTGCTACCCTTAGAAAGGCCTGCTCACAAGGCTGGCCCTTGGCTGGCATCTGGGGTGTTCCGCAATTTCCTAACTGATAAGGGTGGCTTACTGTGCCTAAACTGTTTGTGCAAACAACATGGTTTATGCTGGACACCTGCTTTCTTCCTAGGAGTCCGGAACTTTGGCAGAGAGTGCCTGTAGCCAACCCCAATAAAAACCCTGGGCAACTGAGTCTCTAATGAGCTTCCTAGGTAGGCAACACTTCACACGTGCTGTCACAATTCAATGCTGGAGGAGTTCAGTGTGTCTTGTGTGACTCCACCGTGAGGACTCTTGGAAGCTTATGTCTGGTCTCCTGTGGACTCCATTTCATGCGCCTTCTCCCTCTGCTGATTTTGCTTTGTATTCTTTTGTTGTTAATAAATTATAGCCACGAGCAGATCTAAACACTGAGTTCTGTAAGTTCTCCTACCATGTCACCAAACCTGAAAGTGGTCTTGGGGACCTATGACACAATAGTAAACAAATAAGCATATGGTGATAACTCCAAATTTATGTCTCCAGAAATTAATTTCCTACTAAGACTATTTCATCCACCTGCCTATCTAGAATCGCCCCTTGGGATATCTACCAGCCATCTCAAACTAACATGGCCAAAAGAAAACTCTTAGTTTCCTCTACCATATCTTTCCCCCAATCTCCATTCAGTAAACAGCACCAACAGCCACGCACTTACTCCTATCAAAAACCTATCTTTGATTTCTCTTTCCCTTCACTACTAGCTCCCATAAATCCTATCAGTTTTACTTGGGGGGGGGGGGCGGTTGGGGGGAACTCCATCCACAAAATAAATATCCAGCAACCAGAAACTATTGTTATCTTCTGTTTCTGAGTCCTAGCTGATGTCATCTCTAGCCTATACTAAAGCAAAACCATCCCAATTCCTGTCCCTGCCCCTCCCTTGGCCTTTATAATTCATTCTCCACAGCAAGCCAGAGGGATCCTTCAACAATGTATTGGAATATATCATTCCCCTGCTTAAAACCCTTCACTGACCTCCCATCAGAACGAAATCCTAACTCTCTCACAGCTTACGAGGCATACATGACTGGCACCTGCCTAGCTCTCCGATCTCATCTGGATGCCACTTTTCACTTTGCTCACACTGTGTTCTAACTATACCAGCCTTCATCCTGATCCTCTTAACATGCCAAGATTATTTCTCCCTTAGGTTCCTCTTAATAGCTGTTCCTATTTCGCATGATTCCCTCGAATGTCATTTCCTTAGAGAAGCCTGCCTCCACCACACTAGAAGAGGTCCCACTCCAGAACGTCATTCTATTTTATTATGTCCACATTATCACTCTCTGGAAGTATCTTGTTCATTGATTTGTCCTTGCCTGCCTTGTTCGCTGCTGCCCTCCTAGTGTCTGGATCAGTACTTGGCACACAGTATGCACTCAAATGAAAAATGAAGTGCACAACTATCTCCAAACTGAGAAGAAAACAAGAAGGCATTTGGGTGGGAAATAACTTCAGAGTCTCGTTATTTACACTGCTCTTCAAATTAAATCTACCCTATGAGCCTGGCAGCTTTCTCTCACTTGAGAGGTTGGTTGGTTTGTTTTCAGGGCGGTTTGAGGGAGGAGGTAGGATTACCTATCATAATGATATACCTAACCAATTTTGTCAATATTCATGCGTCAACTATCTTTGTTCATCAACTGGCCAGGAAAAACCTTACAGAGAGCACTTCTTACTATTGATAAGGTATTGACAAGGTGTGTCAGGATTGAAGTGGAATGGCTGGACTCACTGTTCTAATAATGTGGGGGGCGGGAGGGAGTTGGAACCATGGGAATCCTGAATATAATACCCAAACAGGAGCTTAAAAGAACTAGAATGCAAAAAAAAAAAAAAGGAATTAGGGCTATTTTTTAATTAAGAAGAACCAGGTATGTTTTCCCCATAATGTCATAAAATTTGCCAAGACGTTTTCACAGTGCCTCCTAGACAGGTTACCAAGTAGAAAAGAAATTCTGAATCTTGGGATTGCCCATCCCTCTTCTCCCACCTCTTTCTACTTGCCCTTTTCTGGTTTGGGGGTAGCTAACGATTATTGTTCAATTTTTAAATAAAAATGTTAAGTTTACTATCCCTACAGGAAATGATTTTAGTCAATTTCCTATACCCTGAATTAATTAACTCAATCAACAAATATTTACTGAACCCCTACTCTGTGCCAGGGCGGATCAAAATGTTGCCCAGCTCCTGGGACACTATGCACCATCAAGGCTACATAAATGGTACTGCCTAAAGCTACATAACCTAACAGCTCTGTGCCACTTTATGAGATGCCTGGGATACAGCAAAGAATAAAAAAGAAATGGTCCTTCCCTTCGCAGAGTTTATAATTTAGTATATGCCCACGAATGAGCAGACTGTGGATCAGGCACTGTACTAGGTACTTTCGAACACACTGTTCTACTGTAGCCTCACAACAACTCTAATGAGAGAGGTGGTGTCACCCCTTTTAACCAAGTAGGAAACCTGGGCTCAAAAAGCTAAGTAACACATGCAAGGCCATTCAGACAGTGCTAGAGGCAGAGCCGCAGCCAAAGCCTACGGAACTTTGAACTAAATCTCCTCCAAATAAGAAAGCGCCTGTTTCCAATTTCAGAGAGCTACTCTAGCACTCTCTTCCCAGCTCCCTCTCTGTTATGAGGATTCAGTATTTATTCAAGCTCATCACACATTCTGCTTCTTCAGTGTTCACGTTCACCAAAGAGAAAGAGCCACCTCTGAATGTAGCTGACACACAGAAATCTTTTTTCCCTCTATAGAAAGCTAGATATCACTTCTTTCTTTTGGATTTCTTAATTTATTCCTTCAAACTTTTCAAATCTTTCATGGAATGCCAGACTTATTTTCACATCAAAGGTCTTTCACTTACACTTTGGACCCTAGAATAATTTTTGTTTAACCCACTCGTCTCGTTTTCGCCCTTCCCAATTTCCTTTTGCAAAAATGTTATTTTTATATGTTTACTAGGTAATATTATAGTGAAAAATAGTTTTTCTTTGCTCCTCCTGGGCAACAAGTTTGTGTCTACAGAAAAGCAGTTTGTTTTTAAATGTATAAAAATGACTGATAAACCTTTTAATCAAACGTACACTTTCTGTGCTGCGAGCTGTGTGGGTGCTCTATGTTCCAGGCTTTCTTGTCACAAAACACAGTGGTGGCAGAAACGTAACAGGAGATAGCCAGGGCAAATACCTACTTTCCACACTAATAATTATCGTCTTTACAGTTACAGTAATGACTACTATTTTTAGTAAATTAGACATCTAGACATTCAGAAGGAAGTAAGTAAAAACGAAGGCAAAAACGGCTAATTTCTTGCTATTATGGTTTTGTTACTTGTACTGTTTAGCTTTGTTTTTTGACCATAAGCTAAGGAGGCAACTCAGCCAAACCAAGGAAAATGTCATACTCAAGAAATGAAATCAATAAATGAATACATCTAGGGGAAAAGATGCACTTCAAGTGCTAGACTGAATCTCTTCACTGCATCGAAGTGTTACCTGTCTAGATAGTTCTTAAGGGCCCAGCAAAACTTAAAGCCATAATTTGCAACACTCTAAAGCATATCTCTGTAAAGTACAAAGCTGTCAATTTACACAGGCTATCATAGAAAAGGAAAGAACAAAGAGAAGGAAAAGGTAATGCATTTAAAAAGAAAACAAAACAGACAACATACCTGGCAACATGAGAAAAAGCATCCACAAGGACAGATTCAAATTCTCTAGTAAATTCAGGTCCTTTCCTTTTACTGTTTTGGATGACATCATTTGCTAAATACAGAAAAGTAAGCTTTCTATTTGATTTGGCTGGAAAAAAAGAAAAGATAATTTAGCTTACACCAAGGAAATTCTCAGTTCGCAATTCTTTTGCCCTAAGCTATTTCTAAAGAATATTGAGACAAGCATTATCTTGAGGTCAAGGCTGCTATATGTTTGAAGAAACAACTTAAGGAACTCCTGGATGTCTCTAAGAAAACAAGTGTGAGAATACAATTTTGAAAAAAGTAATAAGAATGGGCCATCTTCATTTTTGTGTTATTTGAACCAGGGTAATTGATAGTAAAAATGAAGATAATAAAAAAACTTCCTAATGGATAAGCAGACAATACTCTCCAGAAAACATGTTAAAACCAAGGTTTCCATTTATTCTATTGCAAAGATGAACATTTCTAACTCACTGTTAATTATCGCATACTGCAGAATGAAAGACTAAGTTAGGTATCAATTTTAAAATAGATTCTTGTAATTTACGCTCCTAGACTGAGAATTTTTCTTTGGACATTCCAATAACCCTAATCAGTCAATGATACCGACTCTATAATCCAGAGGAATCTCTAGACACTCCAATGGATATTTATCTCAAATACAAATATACATTAATGCTGCATTATTATTGAAAATTTATACACATCTGAAATCTGGATATGCAAAATTACGGCTCCCACAAAAACCATAATTCTTCTCTCTTACACATACTAAACGTAGGATTTCCTATTGCTCTATATGGTATCATATATTAAACCATAAAAACCTCACGCATATGCCTGAGTTACAGTTGCCTAGGGGAACATTACTGAATTTCCTGGCTTCTATGCACATAACTTCTCAACTGCAAAGTTACATCACTACCATTTTTGGTCCCAGTTTTCTTTTAAAAGAAATAAATAAGAACACAATCAGTTCAAAACGCTGAAGTTTTCTCCAATGCTAAAGTACCTGAAAAACTCGAGCAAGCCCTATGTCAACCTTTACACACCTGAATAACTAGTCCTTACTCCAATTGTCTTGGAAACCATTTCTGTTTCTTTTGAAACGCACACAGCATGTATAAATTCTGACACAGCTGACATAAGATTGGACATTTTTAAATGCAGCTACAGGAGAACAATCCAGGTTAAAAACAAAATTTTTAAAGCATGTTATAGTTTAAATTGATGATGCAAAGTGCTCATAAAATTAAATATGGACATCCTGCATTGTACTAACCTTCTGGTAAGTTTAGATGGCCAACTGATGAGAATATTGAAAACCTGGAGCCACCTTCCACTCTAACAGCTCTAATTATTATTCAAAAGCAGAACAAAAGCGTCAATATTTACAATACCCCACTGTTGCTACAAAAGTATGATTATGGCAAAGGGCTTTTTCTTTTTTAAAGCAAACCTTTCCTGGGATGTTGCAGCAAGTAAAACTACCAAGCCTATAATACCATGAAAGTTAACAGATTCAAAAGCAAAACAGAATTTCAACAAAGCAAATTTGACTAAGCACAGCTTCACAAATTCCACATACTTTGTTAAGAAAACCAGAATCCATTTTGTAAAATGTCAATTTAGACATTCAAGACCTGATACATTTTTCAGTATTACAAACACGATAGCTAAGAGGCTAGAGAGCCAAGGTTTTCATATCTACAATGCCAATTAATTTTCATCATCCTCAAACTCAGCAATGGAGATTTACGTAAGATAAACTTTATCCCTCCACATCCAGCATCCTGCAGAGTCAGCAGAAGCACCATGTGTGTAAAGGTGATGGGCTGCAGTCCTGGAGCACCTGAACACAGCCATAATACACACAACACACACACCCTCCACCTGAGCCCCGGGTGACAACTCACTTGTTCGGATGTCTTTCCAATATGACAAAATAGACCCTTTCACCCTCTACCGAGGCGCATTCCAAGTTAGTTGAAACGGTTCTTGAGCAAAGTTTAAATAACTGGCTGACCAAAAATTTTCATGTCTCGCTGGTTTTGACATCTAGAGAAAGCAATTTTGAAAAGAATGCCTATCTACCAGCATTCGGGCCAAGATACAAACACACTACTAAAAAAATGTTCACCTAACAGCATTTTACATTACACCAAACTATTCCATAACGAAGGGAAGAAGTTCAACCTAGAATGAAGCCCAAAGGGATAAATTAGGAAATATTTCTAAAAATGGAAAGAAAATAACACTCAAGAAGTAGCATTTAAGCAAAAAAAAGTCATTTTTGTAAGTCTCATAAGTATTCTGAAGGCAACACAAGAGACAGTCTGTGAACCTCTTAGATAGGGAAAATGACTGGCCCACAGATAGAAATGTCCCCTTTTAAAGACTCGGGGCGGGCTAGAAACTAAGTGGCTAGTCAATTTGAACATTAGGGCACAAAATCTTTTCCCACTTCAGTGGGGAGGGCATTTTCAATTCATGAAGGAAGCCTGGGTATTAGGAAGCTATATTCTGATGCTTGAAAGAGCATCCTCCAGCTCTGCACTGTCCAATATGGTAGGCACCAGCCACACGTGGCTACTGAACACCTGAACTGTGGTTAGCAAAACTCAGAAACTGAATTTTTTATTGTATTCATTTAAAACTTCAGTTCCTTAGTCAGACATTTCAAGTGTTCAAGAGCCAAATGTGGCAAGTGGCTACCTTGTTGGATAGTGCCGATATAAAACATTTCTATCACCATAGATGGTTGTATTAGACAGTGTTGTTTGGCTCCTTTATTCAACCATGAAAATGATGCCAGAGAACACAACTTAACTCCGAACCTATTTCTTAACTGCGTAACACACACCATGCTAAGCGCTGTGGGCGTTACAGAGCAACAGGAAGGCCTAATTTCTCCCTCGAAACACAATCTAGTAAAAAAGACTTAACTAGTAAGAATGAAATAAATGCTAAATTGGTGTGGGACAGGGTGGGAGGCAGTGATTAATCCTAACAGACGAAAGCACTACGGGTTTGGTTGGAGTCGGACGACTGCCTTCACTTATTAAGTGCACTGAGGCACTGGGTACAGACTTCAAAGCACAAGTTTTGGCATCAGAGAGCTCTGGGCTCATGTCCCAGCTGCATGGCCCTGAACAAAGCACTTAATCTCTCTGTATCTTCATCTTCTCACCTATAAAATGGGGGATAATAATCCCAGCCTACTTAAACGTAAGATTCTACCATACGAGATTAGGGTCAAAGGAGCTTCATAAACAAATGCACTCTCTAAATTGTTATTTTCAGTAACTCAAATAGGGTGAGGTGGGAAATCAAGAAGGCTTCACAAAAGAAGTGACATCTGAGATGGACTCTGACCTGTCTCTGAGATCCTACCAGATCTCATCCTCTAGAAGCAATTTGCATTTTTTTCCATCTCAGGTGTTGGAAATAATATTTGAACGGCACAGTGGGGAATATGAAGGCTCTATCCCCCAACCACCCAGAGGGCGGAGGGGACCCCATCTCAGTACAGCACAGGACACTGTGGGGGGAGGTTCTCTGCTAGAGGCTAGAACTGGGTCTCCTGAAAGAATCCTGGATTTTGGAGTCTGCCAGCCTGATGGAGTCTGAGCCTCACCTTTTTTTTTTTTTGAAGATTAGCCCTGAGCTAACATCTGCCACCAATCCTCCTCTTTTTGCTGAGGAAGACTGGCCCTGAGCGAACATCCGTGCCCATCTTCTTCTGCATTATATGTGGGACACCTGCCACAGCATGGCTTGCCAAGCGGTGCCACGTCCACACCCGGGATCTAAAGTGGCGAACCCCGGGCCACTGAAGCTGAACGTATGAACTTAACCGCTGCACCACCGGGCCAGCCCCTGAGCCTTGCCATTTCTAAGACCTTGAAAATACCACTTAGACACTTCAGTCCCCTGATGTGTAAGAGGGTGGAATCCTTCCTCACCGACAGCAGAGAACACGAGTTACTTCCTATGCTATAAAGGGCCTACCAGACAGGCTGTCCAAATAGCTCCAAGCTTCACTCCTCAGCTTTCTGCAAGGGAACTCACCCGGGTATCGGAGAGCTGTGCAGTGCCCATCTTTCCCCACCAGACTGTAAGCATGTTGGAGGCAAAGACCATGCCCACACCGAGGAATCAGTAGCCCATGTCACGGTGATTTACCGAATGCCCACACTGTGCCCAACACCTTGCTGGATGTTCATTTGGACTGTCCTGTCTACTCCTCACCCCAAGCTGTTGGAGCCTCAGTTTTTCCTCATCTGCAAAGTTCCCACTTCATAGGGCCCAGGAAGTTAGAAAATGACACTGTCTGTAAAGACATCAGTACTGCACCTGGCACATAATAAAAGCACAGTAAATACCAGTTACCGTCATCTCCATTTTCTAGATAAGGAAATCGAGGGACAGAGATTAAGCTGCTGGGGTCAGTAAACGGCAAAGTTAGGCTTAACTTCCAGGCAGTCGGCCTCTGGAGTGAACAAAGCATCCAGTCCAGTGCCTGATACACAACAGGCTGAGCTCCATGAATGTCCCACGTCAGATCCTGAGCAAGGTCTAGCATCAATGAAAGTTGGACGAGAAGAGCAGCCTGATGGGCAAAGTCTAGGTGGCGTGGCCCCTCAACCTCTCCAAAATGGGGCCGTTCTGAGGACTGAGTGCACCCACACATGTAAAGGGCTCAGCAGAGGGACTGGCAGAGAATAAAGGCTCTGTAGGTGGCAGCTCTCCTGTCCTCATTCCACAGATCAGGAACGAGATAGATGAAGAAACGCCCGATGTCACTCAGCCAGTGTCTGGGCGGGACTCAACCTAGGCACTCATACTCCAGTCCGCCGGCTCTTACTCCAAATGCCCAGCAAAGCGCCTGGAAGCCGACAGGCTGGGGCCAGTCCCCCCGCACCAAGGCGCTGAGCTCCGCCGAGATAATAATGGGCACCAGCGTCAGGAGGAGCCTGAGGGGAAAAGGGCTAGAGGAACTGGGAATGCAGGCACCTGTGCCCTGGTCGGTGGAACCTCAGACTAGGACCTTTAATCTTCCCGGGCCTCAGTTTCCCTCTCGGAGACATGGGGATAATACTGTTTCCAACCTCAGAAACGCAATCGGAGGCCCGGGCCTGGGAAGCAAGGCTCAGTTAAGAAGCTCGAGAGGCCTCGGGAGCGGGTGGCGGAGAGGATAACTCGGGGGAGGGTCCAAGAGGGAGGGGAGGGGGTCATTACCTTTGCGGAGCTCGCGGTGCCACACGGAGACGATGGGTCCCGCGTGCTTGCGGTGGTGGATGAGCCACAGGGACAGGGTCTGCACGCTCTGCTGAGAGTTACTCAGCTCCGAGAGCTTCTTCTCCAGCGCCGACTCGGAGAAGGAGGACATGGTGGCAGCGGTGAGGCCCGGCAGGGAGCGGCCTGGGCCGCCCAGTGCGGCGGCAAGAGCAACGGACGAGGCCCGGGCCTCACCTGACGGCCTTGGGGACTCTTTACTGACTGACAGACGGCCAGAGGGGCAAGGAGGGGGAGGGGATGAGTCTCCGCAGAAACAGCGGCCCGCGCCGCCGCCACAAGATGGCCACCGACCTCTCACCCCGCCGAGAGGGGTCAAAGGGCAAGGGCCGGAGTGGCTGGACACAGGAGGTGTCAGAGCTGTAGAAAAACGCCTCTCCAGTGGCGGCGGCCTGTCTGGACCTCGCTCACGGCACTTCGAAAGCAACAGCCCGGGAAAAGAGCGCAGTTCAGCAGCCTCCAGAAGGCGCTTTCTCCGCTCGCGCCCGCACGCCGGCGCAGTGAGTCCCACCGGAACCCTTTCTCCCGCTCCCGCAGAACCTTTCTGGCGCTGTCCGGCGCGCTAGTTAACGCGTCACTTCCGGCGGGGCGGAGGAGGCGGGAGAGTGAGGGAAAGGCTGGAAGACGAGGTAAGGGAAGAGTGGCGGGAGCAAGAGGGAGCCCAGCAACCGCGAGCCCTTAGAGGGGGATCCTGAGGGGACACTGAGAAGGAGAGATCACGACTTGGGTATGGGAGGGGGCTTCCTCCCTCACCTAGCAGGCCCCAGGCCGCACTATCCTCTGTACGCATCCTGCTCTCTGGCCGCCCGCCCACATGCTTCTTTTTGGTTCTGCCGAACCACCCACGTGCCGTTTTCACGCCTCCACGCCTCGGCTCTCGCTGTTCTTTCTCCAAAGGTGACGTCCTGCTCTCGCCTGGTGTGCTCGCTTTCGGCCTCCAGGACCACCCTTTAATGTCCGGTTAGACATTTAGTCTGACAGCACGGCCGTGAAACACACCTTTGTGCTCTGGGCTCTTAACTGGTTTCTCATTCAGGGAGTTACATGCAGCCCTGGCCCTCTAGGGGTCCAGTTGACTTTGTGAAGTTTAAGTGATATGTTAACTTTTTGGGGGGCAGGGACAGGGAAGTCCATGGAGCATTGACCTCCTGTAAAGAACAGTATTTGAGACTCTGAAGCTTCTTCCTACTTTTAAAAATGTTAAATTCCAATTATCAAGTCAGCGGAGAAGTTTTGCCCAGCTCCTTATGGGGGTGGACGTAGGGAGTTAGGTTATTGAAGACATAATGGAATTTCAGAATTTCCTGGGGCCGCCAGTGGTGCAGGAGTTAAGTTCGCATGTTCTGCTTCTCCCCGCCCGCGGTTCACCAGTTCGGATTCGGGATGGGGACATGGCAGCGCTTGGCACGCCATGCTGTGGCAGGCATCCCACATATAAAGTAGGGGAAGATGGGCACGGATGTTAGCTCAGGGCCAGTCTTCCTCAGCAAAAAGAGGAGGATTGGCAGTAGTTAGCTCAGGGCTAATCTTCCTCAAAAATAATAATAATAATAAAAATAAATAAAATTTCCTGATTGTCATGGAACTTCCCAGTTGTGGGCAGACTCCAGTTAGGAGATGTTCTTCCAGCTGATGCCTCTTTTTGCTCTTACTAAACTGTGTTGTAGTTCTTTGCTTAGATGTTTTTACTATTTCTCCAGACTAGGATCATCGTAATCATACCTAACATAGTGAGTGGCTGCTAGGAAGACACTGTTTTCACATAGTGACTCATTTAATCCTCATGACAAAGCTGTGAATAGGTATTATGTTCCAATATTCCCATTTGTCGAATGAGGAAGCTGAGGCTGAGAGAGGTGTCGTACCCAAAATCACCTAACTAAAATTAGAGGGAAGGGACTGCATCTTATCTGTCTTTTTCACTCCAGCACCTGATTCATAGCTGATTGAGTGAATTAATATAAAAAATGAATAGCCCAAAATCACACAGTTGGTATCTAGTCATAATTATAATCTAGGGCCTTTGAGTCCAAATCTAGACCATGTTTATGTATTAAGTAACACTGTCATATACTGAGCATTTTTATACCAAGTCACTGTATATTAAGCACATTATGTACATTCTTTTATTAAATCCTTGCAGCAGTCATATGGGGTGGGGATTATTATCACTAAGTGAGAAGACGTAAAACATGGGTGAGTGTCCAATGTCACTTGGACATTGTTAGGAAATGACAGAGCCAGGAGTCAAATAAGGGTTATCTGATGTCTGATCCCAAATTCTTTACTCCCAAGCCAGTGGTTCATTCATTCATCCAGCAAATAATTTTTAAGCACCTATGTCTGAAGCACCATCCTAGGCAAACAATCCGTGTCCTCAGAAACTTATCTTCTACAGGGGAAGACAGATAAACAAACATGCAAGTAGAAAATGAGTCGGAAAGTGATGAGTGCCTTGAATAAAAGTCAAGAAGGGTAAGGGGGATGAGGCATGCATGTGTGGGCGGATAGGAGTCTATTATATATGCTGCTCAGAGAAGGCCTCACTGATACCGTGACATTTGATCAGAACCCTGAAAGAAGTGAGAGAACAAGCCATCTGCTATGTGGTGGAATATTGTTCCGTGCAGAGAGAAAACCAAGTACAGTGTGCTTAGGTTAGACCACTCTTGGCATTTTTAGGAACAGCAAAGAGGACAGTAAGGCTGGAGTGATATAAACCAGACAGCTGGAAATAAGCTCAGAAAAGTAGCCAGGGACCACATCACGTGGGGACTTGTAGGCAGTAGTAAGGACTTTGGATATTACTCTGAATGAAATGAGAGTCCATTGGACAGTTTTGAGCAAAGGAGGATCGTTGTGGCTGTTAAGTAGAAAATAGTAAGGATGCAAGGGTGGAAGCAGGAAGACCAGTTCAGCAGCTGTTGTAATAACCCAGGTGAAAGGATGACTCAGACCAGGGTGGAGGTGGTGAGAAAGGGTCAGATTCTGGGGGTATTTTGGAGGAAGAGGTCACAGAAATCTTTGCTGACAAATTAGATACAAAGTGTAAAAGAAAGATAAGAGTTTATTTGGTCCCAAGAGTTTTAGCCTAAAGCAACCATAATGGAGTTTATGTTTACTGAATTGCGGAAAGAGCTGGTTTGGGGACTAAGAGCAGGAATTCAGATTTGTGTATGTCCGGTTGGAAGTGCCTATCCAAGTAGGGATGTCTCGTGGACAAGTGGGTTTTTGGGTCTGGAGTTCAAGGGAGATATCTGGGCGAGACGTGGGAGTCATAAGAAGGAGTAGATGTGGAAAGAAAAGGGGCTCGGTGACTGAGTCATAGGACACTTCAACCTTCAGAGGTCTGAAAGATGAGGATGATTTAGTCATGTGACTTTTCTTCTTTAGCTTGTTAATATTAATTACACCGATTGATTTTCAAATTTTAAGCTGACCTTACATCCCTGGAATAAACTCTACTTTCTCATGGTGTCTAGGTGTCTAATTCTTTTTACTTACTGCTGAATTATATTTCCTACTATTTTGTTTAGGATTTTTGCATCTATATTCCTACAGGAAATTGGTGTGCAACTTTTTAAGATTTTTATTGTTTTTGTCAGGTTTTGGCATCAGTGTAATACTAGCTTCATAAAATGGATTGGAAAGTGTTTCCTCCTCTTCTTTTTCTAGAAGATTGCATAGAATTGGTGTTAACTGTCTTTAAATGGTTGGTAGAAGTCCCCAGTGAAACCATCTGGGCCTGGAGATTTCTTCTCTCTCTTTTTTTTTTAGTTTTGTAAAAGTTTGTAAAAAGTGTGTAAAGTTATTTGTGGTATTCCTGTATTATTCTTTGATATCTACAGTCTGTAGTGCTATCTCATTTCATTACTGATACTGGTAATTTCTCTCTCTCTTGTCAGTCTTGCCAGAAGTTTGTGAATTTTATTATCTTTTCAAAGTTCTTTGTTTTGTTGATTTGTGCTCTGATCTTTATTATTCTTCCTTCTGCTTACTTTGGATTTATTTTGCTTGCCTTTTTCTAGCTTCTTGAGGTGGGAGTTTAGATTATTGATTTGAGAGCTTTCTCCTTTTCTAATATATGTATTTAATACTATAAATTTCCCTCTCAATATGGCTTTAGTTGTATCCCGCAAATTTTGATATGTTGTGTTTTCATTTTCATTCATTTCCATGTGTTTTTTAAAATTTCCCTTGAGATTTCCTCTTCGATCAATTATTTAGAAAGATGTTGCTTAGTTTCCAGGTGTTTCTTGATTTTCCTGCTCTCTCTCTGTTAGTGATTTTTAGTTTTATTCCATTGTGGTTGGGGAACACACTCTGTGTGAGTCTATAAAACTTGTGGAAGTTTGTTTTAGGGCCCAAGATACGGTCTATCTTGGCATTGTTCTGTGGGCACTTGAAAAGAATGTGTATTCAGCTATTGTGGGTCAAAGTGTTCTGGAAACGTCAGTTAGATCCTGTTGGTTGGTGGTGTTGAGTTCTTTTGTTATCCGTGTTGATTTTCTGTCTAGTTGTTCTGTCAGTTATTGAGAGAGGAATGTTGAAATCACCTATAGTTCTCCTTTCAGTTTTACCCATTTTTGTTTCATGTATTTTCTGGCTCTGTCATTTTGTTCATACACATTTAGCATTGCTAGGTCTTCTTGATAGATTTACCCTTTAATCATCATATAATGTCCCTCTCTGTCTCTGGTAATTTTCTTTGCTCTGAAGTCTACTTTATCTAATATTAACATAGCCACTCTTGCTTTCCTTTGATTAATGTTTGCGTGATAATATTTTTTTCCATCCTTTTACTTTCAACCTACCTATATCGTTATGTTTGAAGTGAGTTTCTTGTAGACAGCATATAGTAAGGTCATATTTTTTAATCCACTCTGACAATCACTGTCTTTTCATTAGTGTATTTAGACCTTTTACATTTAATATAATTGTTGATATGTTAGAGCTTAAGTCTGCCTTTTTATTTTTTGTTTTCTATTCTGCTTTTGTTTCTCTTTTTTCTTTTTCCACCCATCCTGTGGGTTAACTGAACATTTTTTAGAATTCTATTTGATTTATCTGTAGTGTTTCTCAGTGTGTCTGTTTGTATAACCATTTTCGTGGTTCTTCTAGGTATTACATTACGTGTATGTAACTTATCTTTACCAGTTCTAGTGAAGTATAGCAACCTTAGTTCTCTTTATATCTCTTTACCCTCCCCTGTTTGTAATATAATTGTCTTAAATGTTTCTTCTACATATATTTAGAACCACATCAGTCAGTGTTATAATTTTTGCTTCAACTGTCAAACACAATTTAGAAAACTCAAAAGAATAAGGAAAGCCTCTTGTATTTATACATATTTTTGTTTACCTTGTCCTTTCTGCCTACTTGATGTCCTAAAATTCCTTTTTCTTGACATTTTCTTTCTGTTTGGGGAATTTCTGTTAGCATGCTGTTAGAGTAGGCCTGCTGGTGACAAATTCTCTTAGTTTTCCTTCATCTGAGAATGTCTTGATTT